AGCAACACAGAGGTGGGTGGTGCACAGAGGTTGAGTGGTAGAATTTTAAGTTGGAAAGGGATCTCATGTCCCCATGCCCATTCCAGGCTCTTCTGTAGACCTTCATTTCTTTCCCTACTGTCCAAGAACATGGTTTTCTTATATCCCTGGACCAACATCCATCTTTCTTGACTGGCTTCTCATCTATGTAAGCAGTTTGTGAACAGGCACATACATCTCACTTTGTTTCCCAGGCTAGAGTGCCACGGTGTCAACCTAACAGCAATCTCACACTCCTGGGTTCAAGTGGTGTTCCTGCCTCAGCCTCCCCATTAGCTAGGACTACAATTATCCGCCACAGCACCCAGCTAATTTTTTATTTGTAGTGGGGACAGGGTCTCATTCTTGCTCACGCTGGTCTCAAACTCCTGAGCTCAAGTATTCTCCTGCCTCGGCCTCCCAGAGTGCTAGGATTAAAGGCATGAGCCACCGCTTCCAGCCCCGTCTCCCTTCCTGCAGCATACATTCCTGCTGTTTTCGGAACTCCAGAATCCAGTAAAGAGGTTGCAGCATCTGAAAGAGCACAGAGCAGAGAAGGACCACACTGAAATGGGGAAGAGCAGTTTCACTTTGCCCACATTTCCCCCTCCCTCCAGCTGGCACAGCTAACTTCTGAGAAAGATCCTCTTAGCCTGCAATTCCTTCCACGGAGAAAGTAGGGAGGAGTGTGTCCAACATTTCCACCTTGTAAGGCTGTCCAAGGGAACTGCTCCGGTCTTGCCTCCCTCAGGCAGCTGAAGGTTCCAGCAGTTTGAACCTACGGACAGGTAATAACAGAGAGTTGGGATGTGTGGCTCTCAGCATTTGGCAGAGCCTTGAATAGCCAGTGTGGACCCCAATAGCTGCACAGTTCCCAGCAGCCTCCATGGCTCCAGCAGCCATATGGCTTCCAGTACTTGGTGAGTCTCCCTGCTACTGATGGGACCCCCAGCATCCCGTCCAGCCTAGGCAGCCATACAGAAACCTGTATCCAGCCTGGGTTGCAGCCACCAGCCCTGACTGCAGTTGCTGGTGCTGATCACAGCTGTCAGTGCAGATTTCAGCTGCCACTGCAGACCCCAGGGTCTGGCATATGCCCCTTTGTCCCCAGCAGTGCCACGGATCTCAATAGACAGTGCAGGTCTCAGTAGATGACATGGATCTCTGCAGATGGCATAGATCTCTGCAACCAGCATGCATTTCAGTCTGCAGGATTTGGAGAAGGCACATAATCTTGAGATAACTCCTTTACAAGGGATCAAGAGAAGAGGAGCTTGTACGTCCTGGCATCTCGGTGTACTGCCCTAGGGAGAATGAGAGCTTGATTTTCAGTACCTCACATGGCTTAATATAACTGAGGGGAATGCATACAATCCTGAGTAGTCGCCAGGACAGAAGGAGGGAAATTTGAGGTCTACCTAATGTCCCAGCATATCCATGCACTGTTCTAGGGAAAAGAGGCAAGCAGCACTGAGCACAACTCTACAGGGCTGGGGAAAGCACAGTCCTGAGATTCTCCCACAGGTAGGAGCAATGGAAGTAGTGGAATATCCATAACACATTTTTAAGAGATTTACAAAATCTCCAGCCAGGCCAATGTTAAAAGATCTTTCCCTGCTAACCCAGGTCTTCAAAGACCATAAAAGGTGGCTGCTTATCCAAATGCACAGATACCAACACAGGGCTGCAAGGAATCTGAAGGATCAAGGAAATAGGGCACTACTAAGAAGCCTTGGTTGTATGTAGTTCCAAATCTGTCATTATGGTTTGAGAATTCAATTGTTTTCTTTTATATAAACACAATAACAAAGTAATAGTTTCACTTAAAAGAATGCAACTATTCTGTGATTATGATTTTCAGGATTTTAGACTTTAGGGATTTTGACCTATCAGGATTTCAGTATTTGGGATTATGTCATTCAGGATTATATCTATTGGGATTATGATCCCAACCCCAATAAATGGCAGAAAGGGAGAAGTTAATTGTCTTTTTTGCAGATGACAATGTGTTATATAGACCAAACCCTGTAGAGTCCACCAAGAAACTGTTAAAACTAAGAAATAAATTCAGTAAAGTTGCAGAAAAGTAAACCAACATGTAAAATTCACTAGTGCTTTTATACACTAACAACAACAACAAAATAAATAAATAAGTAAATCCACTTCCAATTGCCACAGAAGTAAAATAACTTAGAAACAAATTTAACCAAAGGAAAGAAAGATTTGTATATTGAAAACTGTAAAATATTGATGAAAGAAATTGAAGATAAGTGAAATGAGGGCAGCACCTGTGGCTCAGTGAGTAGGGCGCTGGCCCCATACACCGAGGGTGGTGAGTTCCAACGCAGCCCCTGCCAAACTGCAACAAAAAAATAGCTGGGCATTGTAGTCCCAGCTACTTGGGAGGCTAAGGCAAGAGAATCATCTAAGTCCAAGAGTTGGAGTTGCTGTGAGCTGTGATGTTACAGCACTCTACTGAGGGCAATAAAATGAGACTCTGTCTCAAAAAAAAGATAAGTGGGCTCGGTGCCTGTGGCTCAAGTGGCTAAGGCGCCAGCCATGTACACCCAAGGTGGCGGGTTCGAATCCCCAGCCCGGACCTGCCAAACAACAATGACGGCTGCAACCAAAAAATAGCTGGGCGTTGTGGCGGGCGCCTGTGGTCCCAGCTACTTGGGAGGCGGAGGCAGGAGACTCGCTTGAGCCCAGGAGTTGGAGGTTGCTGTGAGCTGTAATGCCACGGCACTCTACCCAGGGGGACAGCTTGAGGCTCTGTCTCAAAAAAAAGATAAGTGAAATGAAAAGATATCCCATGCTTATGAATCAGAAGAAATGATATTATTAAATATTTCATAATATCCAAAGCAATCTACAGATTCAATGCAATTTCTACCAAAATTCCATTGACATTTTTTAAAGAAATAGAAAAACAATCCTAAAATTTGTGTAAAACCACTAAGTCTCTGAAACAACAAATTCAGTGTTGAGCAGAAAGAACAGCTTTCAAATTCACTCTTATTTCTTTGGTGAAGGTACTCTTTTCCTGGAATAGGCATCAAAGCTATCAATATATGAGGTCTGAGAATGAAGTTCTTGAACTTGAACAGAGAAAGTGCTTTGAAGGTGAGGCACAGTGGCTCACTGTCTGTAATCTTAACACTCTGGTAGGCCAAGTTGGGTGAATCACTTGAGGTTAGGAATTTAAGACCAGCCTAACAACAGTGAAACCCTGTCTCTACTAAAAATAGAAAAATTAGCTGGGTGTTGTGGCAGGCACCTATAGTCCCAGCTACTTGGGAGGCTGAGGCAAAGAGTTCGTTTAAGCCCAAGAGTTTAAGGTTATTGTGAGCTATGACACCACAGTACTCTACCCAAGGTGACAGAGTGGGAGAAAGAAAGAAAGAAAAGAAAAGAAAGAGTGGGAAGAAGGGAGGAAGGAAGAGTGCTTTGAAGGGTGGATTAGGTGCTGGCTTCTGTGCATAGCTTCCCAAGGGGAGTACTTTGATGGTGACCATATGATATTTAGCAGTGAGGTATGTAGCACTTTTCCTAGGATGAGTCCACAATCTCATAGTAAACCCCCAAAGTTGGTAGAGAGTGGACTGCTCCAATAAGGAAGTGTCACCCCAGGGTGAGAGTCTGTCCTATCTGCTAATCCCTAATAATATGCCCAGCAGTGGAATTTTCATGAATTGTTTTTTGGAAAGGGGTGGAGAGTTCTTGAAATGGCAAACCCTCTCCTTTGTTAGGCTATTTCTGGGGGCTGCTGTGGGATTTCTTAACTCATGGTGCAAGTGAATGTGATGTTTACTATGTTAATGATGGTAGATCACTTGAGGATACAATCACCTTGATTAAATGCATGTTCCAAAGACCCCTCTTTTTATGGCCTTGGTCTTGGCCCCACTTTATGATTTCTTCACCTCTGTCTGGCTGGTCAGTTTTTGGAGACCTGTGCTAGACCAAACAGCTGGTCATTCCTAGGAAACCCCCTTGGTGTGTCATTTGTCTCTTCTTGGATGCCTCCTCCTGTCAATTTGTCCCTCCTATTATAGACAAAGCCTATTCCTCCTTATATCCACCTAACAGGTCTTACTATCAAAGGTTAGGTGGACCAAAGGGAGACCCTGTTGGTCCCCTGCCATGAAAGACCCTGAGTCAATTTCGAGTATTTACCCAGATTGGAGAAATGTTCAAAGTCAGAAAACAAAGATTCTAAGGACAGAATTCAACAACACATCAACAAGATTATACATTATAATCAAGTGGCATTTATGTCTAGATTGTCTTGGTTTAACACATGTAAATCAGTCGATGTGATACATTACATAAACATACTGAAGGACAAAACCCCCCAAATCATCACAACAGATGTAAAAAAGTCATGTGACAAACATCAACATACTCTTGATATAAACAACATAGGGGTACATGGTGTCTCAAAAGTCACCCCAGAGTCAACATACATAGGAAAATGGAAAAGTGTTGCAAAAGGTACCTTTATTTACAACAGATTACAGAATTTTACATAATCTTTCATAAAATATTCTCTATGTCTAAGAAAGGAATTGAGGAAAAAGTGTGCCATAAACTGCGGGTGTGGAAACCTTCCCTCTTCCCCTTCTTCCTCCAGATGTGGTTGGATCTGCTTTTGCTGGACCCCTCCTGAGCGCTCCCCTTGCTCATCACTTTAGGAAGTCTGCCATCAGGCTCCCCTAGAGCAGGAACTGTGTGACATCCAAGGGCACACCCCTCCCAGCCCTGGGCGTGGGGATCTAAGAGAATGGACTTCTCCAGGCTTTCCCAACGAAAAGATCTGAATGGGAGGACCACAGAGGCCACCTGGGGTCTTGCAACTACATTTCCCAGAGTCCCTGGGAAGGCTCCACAGACGGTGGGGGCGGGGACGCGTTGAAAGCCAATGAAAGTGGCTGCTCTGTGGACTTTGAAAGCCAGAGGATCGCATTCAGCCTGGTTCCTGGTTCCTGGTTCCTGGTTCCTGGGCACAGGGATCTGATCAGCCGAGCTCAGTAAGTAACTTGAAGTGCGCTTTAAAACTGGGGTTTAATACTTTCAATGTGGGTACAGGATCTAGATTCTGAATTTCCAGTTCCAGCGTGTTCAGAAAGTTTGGCTGGCACAGACTTTGAGTCTGATGCTACAACTCTCTATAGCATTACCGTGACTTTACCAGGTGCTTGATTCATGCCCCCTGGTTTCGAATGACAGCCCGACCTATTTGTATCTGTGAGAACTTGGCCATGTCATGTGGCTTCTCTACAACTTGGTTTCTCCATCAGTAAAATGGATTTAATAATCCTGCTTCAAGGGAGGTTGTGAGGGCTTAATACACGTGTTAAACGATAGTTAGTGTATTTAAAAACTGGATTTTCCTCTTCTACATGTGCCCACTGTCTTCTGTTCCCTCTGGGGACTAGCTGTCCCAAAGAACCCAGCTGGCCCTGAAGGCAGCACACTCCTAACAGCTCCTTCTGCTGTCGCATTAGCTGATCAGAAAACTCCCAAGGATGGCGAATGTCCCGTGCAGTCGCTGTCCTGTGAGGTTGTGCTGGGCTGTCTGCAATGTCTAGGGGAATTCCTGGGGAAGAAGGAGGGTAGAGCTTGGTGGAGTCTTAGTGGGGATGTCTCCAGAGTCGTAAATGACAAAAATGAATTCCTTAATTATCATATGAGAGCATCAGCTCCTGTACACAGGGGTGCAGAATTCCTTGGTGGAGAGAGAAGCTGGCCAGGCCAACAGCCCCAGGGTTGGGTGGGATGGACTTTGGCCTCTGGCCTCTGCTCTGGTGCTCTGGCACAATGCCCAGAAGAGTGTATGACTGTTCTGATAAACTGTTCTTTCCTTCCTCTCGGCCCCTCCTTTTTGTTCCTGAAATACAACCCTGTCCTTGAAAAGGAACTTTGTAACTGTGGACTGTCTAGCTGTGTCCTGCCCGAGACAGGTCTGGCCTTCACCCTGTTCAGCTCCACAGCAGTTTGCCTGTCCTTTTGCTTTCCTGGACTGTGGCAAGTTCCCACACTCCCTGTCTGGCCACCACAGGCATTTACTGGGAGAGTGTTCTGTTTAGCCTTCTGTACTTCTGGTGGAGACCAGTAGGTCTAATGGGCTTCACTGGAGTCACTGTCTTTAAAAAAATTTTTTTTGGGTGGTGCCTGTTGCTCAAAGGAGTAGGGCTCCGGCCCTGTATGATGGAGGTGGTAAGTTCAAACCCAGCCCCGGCCAAAAAAAAAAAAAAAAAAA